AGTCCCCAAGGATCCTTTATATTTCTGTGATTTTTGTGGTGATTTCTCAATTTTCATTTCTAGTTTTATTAATTTGAGTCAGCTTTCTTTTTTTTTCTGGTTAGTTTGGCTGGGGGCTTACCAATCTTTGTTTACCATTTCAAAGAACCAGCTCTGTTTCATTGATCCTTTGTACTTTTTTTTTTTTAATTCTCAATTTCATTGATTTTGGCTCTGACCTTAATTATTTCCTTCTACTGATTTTGAAATTGGTTTGTTCTTGTTTTTTTCCAGGGCATTGAGATGTATCATTAATGAGGTTATTTGGATATTTCTGATTTGCTTATATAAGCACTGATAGCTATAAACTTTCATCTTAGAACACTTTTCATAGTGCCTCATTGGTTCTGGTAACTTGTATCACTATTTTTGTTTGATTCTAACRTTTAAAAAATTTCTCCCCAGACTTCTTGTATCACCCATTTATCATTCAAAAGTGTATTATTCAATTTCCGTATGTTCATATAGTTTCTGTAGGTTTTTGGCATTAATTTTAAATTGCATTTCATTATGATCAGGTAAGATGCAACAATTATATCAATTTTTTTTTTTTGTACTTGCTAAGAGTTGCTTTGTGGCCTAAAATATGGCTGCTTTGGAGAAAGTTCCATGAACAGCTAGAAAGAAAGTGTATTTGGCTATTGTTGGATAAAATATTCTATAGTTGTCTGTTAAGTCCATTTGATTTATATTATTTTTCCGGTCTGAAGAGTGTTTATGTCTGGATGACCTATGTATTGGTGAGAGAGGTGTGTGGAAATCACCCAGTATTATTGTACTGTGGTCTAAGTCTTTAATTTGCATAGTGTCTGTTTTATGTAATTAGGAGCACCAAAATTTGGGGCATAAACATTCACTATGTTATATTTTTTAATTGACTCATTCCCTTTACTTGTATGAAGTAACATTCTGGGTTTCTTCTGATTAAGTTTGGCTTCAAGTTAGTTTTTTTTTCAGATATGAAAGTAGTTATTCCTGCCTGTGGCTATCTTTGCCTGTAAGGTGAGTCTCTTGCAAACAACATCTAGTTGGGTCTTATTTTTTAATCTATTCTGCCAGCCTATGTCTTTTAATTGGGGAGTTGAGACCATTTACCATTTAGAGAAATGTTTATTCCTGCCATTTTGATTTGTTTCTAATGTTTAATTTGGTCCTGTTTCTCCTTTGCTTAGCTAATCTTCAAATGAGATTTGTCCATTTGTGGGCTCTGCGATTTGTTTTAGATTTCTTCTGTGTGCAGTATTTCTTTAAGTATTTACTTTAGTGTCAGTTTAGTAGTCATGAATTCTTTTAGTTTCTGCTTATCTTGGCAGGTTTTTATTTTCCTTCAATTGTGAAGGATAGCTTTTCTGGATAYAGCAATCTTGGTTGACAGTTATTTTCTTTCAGGGCTTGGAACAAATCATTCCAAGTCCACCTGGATTTTAGAGTTTGTGCTGAGAAATCAGAAATAATTCTGATTGACTTGCCTCTAAATATGATATGATGTTTTTCTCTTGAGCCTTTTAAAATTCTATTCTTATTCTGTATGTTAGGTGTTTTAATTATGAAGTGTCATGGAGAGGTTCTCTTTTGACCTTGTCTATTTGGGATTCTGAATGCCTCCTATATCTTGATGTCCTTCTCATTTTTAAGGTTTRGAAAATTTTCTGTTATTATTTTCATTAGTCTGCATCTCACAATCTTAATTGACTGCAGTAATTTTTATCTTTGGTCTTTTACTGTTGTCCCAGAGTTCTTATATATTCTGGCTATGGTTATTTATTTTCTTTTCTTTAATGTAGTCTAAAGGCTGGCTATTTTATCATCCAATTCTGTCTTCAACTCTGTTAGAGAGACTTTCACCTGAACATTTGATTTGTCTTTTGTTTCCAGATATCTATTTGGTTCTTTTTCAATACCTGTATCTCCTTTTATTGGTTTTTCTCATTCATATCCTGTACTGACTTCCTAAATGAATTCAGTTGTTTTTCTGTGTCTCTTGAAACTCATCGATCATKTTTATAATCATTTATTTATTTATTTTATTGTTTTTAATTTGTTCTAATTAGTTATACATGACAGTAGAATGCACTTTGACACATCATACATAAATGGAGTGTAATTTCTCATTCTACTGGTTGTTCATGATGCAGAATCCCACTGGTTGTGTAGTCATATGTGTATGTAGGGTAATCATTCTTTTGAATTGTTTATCGGGTATTTCTTGCACTTCCGTATCTTTGGAGTTAGTTGCTGGTGAATTAGGAAGAATTGTGTTACTTTATTTTTTTCATATCTCTTGTATTCCTGTATTGGGTTTTATGCATCTGTTGGAATGGTTTTCTCTTTCACTGTGATATGTGAACCTTTTTAGGGCACAGTCTTCACTTGTCAAACTGTCGTGGAGTCATCTAGGTTGAAACCCCTGATATCCACAGCTTTTGTGTTAATTTTCTTTTTGCTGTAGTAGTTGTAGTGAGTGGGTGGGACCCTGTAGCCATTCCTGCTTGGCATCTGGTTCTTCGTTTGGGGTTTTTATTTCTTCTTCTTCCCTTTTTTTTTTTTTTTTGTATTAAGGTGTAGCTGAAGTTTGAGTTTGGATGATTTTAGCATGAGCAAGGTGCACTGTCTTGGCTGGTTTAGTTCAGCAGCAGAGTCTTTCCCCTGAGAACATGTAATGTCCCTGTAGGCTCTCAGCATCTCACAGAAAAGGGGGAAACAAACAAGAGCAATAATTAAAGCAAACCATAGACAACATTAGAACAAATACCTGGTGCCTCCATAACATCTACAACATTAGCACAAAAACAGAAATGGTGGGATCAGCAGTTGTTGGCAGCAAAACCAATGAATAGCCATGAACTAGATCTGGCATTAAAATAAACTGTAGGTATCAACTATGTCATCCACAGGCAACAACATGAATGGTAGGGGCAGGAGTTTTGTCAACCAAATAATTCTAAAAGATGGTGAAAGTACAGTTCATTAAGAGAATATGTGACAGGAAGGTAGAAGAAAGTTTAGAATGTTCTAAATTCAGACAGGATGCAGAAGAGATGTAGCAAGTGATGGTTGTAAGAAGGAGAGAAATAGAAAAAGAGAAGAGGGATCAAGAGAGTTTCTGTTAGTGGGGAAAGAAAGGAGAGGAAGAGAAGCAAGCAAACAAAACCAAAACAAATCAAAACCAAAAGAAACTGCAAGCCCTAACTCTGAAAAGACAAGGAAAAAAATAATTATCGTAAAAAAATGCTAAAAAATAAGAAAAAAAAGAGATACTTATATGTGTATATACCTACAAACCAATCAGCAAAATAAGTGCGCGTGCACGTGCGCGCGCGCACACACACACACACACACACACACACACACACAGAGATTCTTAATGAAAAATGAATTGTTCCACTGAGGTGGTCAAGATAGTCAATGAGGATGGATGGTCACTGCCTATGCCCAGCTTTTCTTCTTTCCATCTCTTCTTGGGCTATGTACTGAGAGAGAGAGAAAGAGCCAGGGCTCGGGGTTTTTAATCCCTTTTTGGGTTTTTAATCCCTTTTTGTAGTTCTCAATTTACCTTCTCACCAGAATAAGGGAGGATGGAGTGGGAAGTACTGTTGGAGTTTTGCCTGGACAGACCAGATTGAAGCGCTTGCAGAGTGGAGCTGCTACAGAGTTCTCTGAAGGGAGTTCCAATGTTTGGCTTTTGTCAGGCATTAGGGACTCTGCTCTGGAGAGATTAGATCAACACGCCCCTAGGTCAGGCAGATGTTATCTCTGTTGGGAGTTTGTATCTCAGGAACCTCTCAAGAATTCTACTCATGGGGCAGGGGAGCCAATCCTGTATACACTGGGCTGCCCACGAATATGGCCTTTGCAGGCTTAGTCCCTCAGTGTACCACCTGTTTACTTTCCTGACCCTCTTTAGCTGGTCACCTGAACCACCAGACTCAAAGGGAAAGCAAATTGCACTCCCTTTCATTTTTCTGGCTTGAACCCACCTGGTTACAATCTTCTGTGTGCCAGTTTCACTCACCTTCTGCTAGGTACACCCTGGCCACATGGTAGACACTTGCCAGAACAGTGTGGTAATGTTTGCTGTAATCTGGTTCCCGCAGCAACAGCTACAGTGTCGCCTCCACAAGATGGCTCCTGCCTCAGATCTGTGCTTACCAGTTGAGAAACAGCACTTTTCAAACACCAGTTTGCTGTGCTGTTTCTGGATCAGCTGAGGCCAGCTGCTTTTCTGATCTACATGTTTTTCTGTGCCAAATGTGTCTGCTGCGTTTCTCTGGGTTATCCCTCCCCTTTGCGGGGAATCATTGCTACCACTGCTGATGCAACCAGCTTGGTTCCAGTGTGCCCTTCCGTATTCTTTGTTCAGTGCACCTGAATTTCTGAGTAGAGTTATAAGTGACTGTGACAGTCCAGTATTGAATTTTAGTGAATTCCCTCTTTCACCACCTTGCTAAGTAATACTTCTGCTGCTTGAATCCTGGGCCATGGAGCAACTTGGAATGCAGTCTTCCTCTAGCCTGCCATCTTGAATCTCTCCCTTTGATTTTTTTTTWATAAAGTTTCTAAGAAGTCTGACAGACGTGGTCCCTGAAGAGCATAGCTAACTATCCCTGTGTCCAGAGCTTGTCTAGTTCATGAGATTGGCAGCATTGAGTTCCTTCTGATCCACACAGCTCATCCAGCTAGTCACATTCAGTATTTATGACAAAAACAGAGACTTCATGTAAATAACCTAATTCCTCTTTCCTGCCTCAAGTGTTTAGAAATTTTAGATCAGGGAAATAACTCTCAGAACTTACTGAATTAAAATTCTTGAAGCTTTCCTGGTGTATTTCCTTATCCAGCAAATAATCTTTAATTTGTATGAATTAAGTTATATAATTAAGCCTTCAGTATTTGAAATTAAATATTATTCTTTATCTGTATTTTAAATTGTTGCCTTTTTCCTTTTCTCCTTTATTTTGCAGTTCTCCGTGCCATGAAGGACGACAGTGAAAAAGTTCCGAGCTTGTTAACTGACTATATACTGAAAGGTGAGTTTTATGATAGTATTATGACAGTGATTGGGAAGTTTTGATCAGTCAGCAAATGTATAATCTTATTAATAGATTTGAAAAGTAACTTCCAAACACACAACTTATTAATCTTACTCTACAGAGTGAGGATAGATAGCATGACTATGTGTTCTACCAATGTTATGGTTATCAAAATTTGACTTTCATTTGAGGTCTTAGACCAGAAATAATTTCTACAGCTGAATCATAAACATTGAGGGAAGTGGTAGCTGGATGCAGTGTCAYACACCTGTAATCCCACCAACTCAGGAGGCTGAGGCAGGAGGATCGCAAGTTCAAGGCCAGGCTCAGGAACATTGAGAGACCCTGTCTTAAAATAAAAATTTTTAAAGGACTGGGGATATAGCTCAGTGGTAGTGCACCCTTGGGTTCAGTCCTCATTATAACAAAAAACCCCAAAGTACAAAAACACTGAGAGAGGTAGTAGAGAGAAATTAATAAGACACTGCCATAATTACGTGAGCATCAGGTGTGGACATGCTGGCCCTGGGAGTGTGAGAAGAGTGGTCTCTTGTCATCTTGGGGACCACAGAAAGGGGAGAAGGACAGATGGTCATTGAGAACACATGAAGGAAGAAATAGTCAAACCAGTTAACCATGCCAGAGGGAATGCAAAAAAGACTAATGTCAGGGGTAGAGAGCGGAAGGGGAAAACTTTCATAAGTCCAGGACAGTGAAAAATGAGCCAAAAATCTTAGGAACAAAATCAAGATCACAGGGTGGGAATATTGATGAGGCAGAAGATGACCAGAGAAGTTAAGGGTATCATTTTGCTGAGGAAAGAGTAAAAATTTGGATGATAAAGGGGACCTAAGACCTTGTKTAGTTATAGGCAAAACTAATACCTTTCAATGAAATTATTTTTTAAAAGCAGCAGTTATTCATGCAATATATTTTGAAAAACATCACAAAATACACCTTGTGGTGTTTGATCAGAATTGAGGACTCCTCTTCCAATAACATTTTCCTTCTTTGGGTTCTCTTCTCTGTCAGCTGAGCATAAAAAAGGGTAGAATTTCTGAGATGTGTAGTATCTCACATGGGCCTTTCTTTCATCCATAGCTTTACTAAAAAGGGAAGGGTGTTCCAAGTTCATAATGTATAATTACCACTGTGGGAGACTCAACAGATGTAAAAATATGAGTCAGTTGCTAGTGGGTTAACAGGGGTGTGGAAAAGAGTAAATGGACATGATTCTAAAATTTGCTATGTTTTTCTGATGGCTGGCTTTTCTCCCTATTAAATCTGAATTATTTTTCATACCTGACATCTTTGTTTGCTTTTTGTGTTGTGCTAGCATTGGTATGAAAGCTGGATTGGTATGGAAGAGGTTTGTTCTTCTAATGTGGAACAGGAATGAGACAAACATAAAGAACATGTCTTCATTTTAATTACAGCGGGTCTCTACGGCACTGCCGCAAGGGAGGGCAGAGTGTGTGCTCTGGAAGCATTCTTAGCTATCTTATACCTGAGCTTTGCCTGCATGGAAGAGCTCTGGGGGAAAYGGGTTTCTAATTCTTTCCTCTGAATGCCTAGGCTTAGTTGTGATGCTGTCCCCGCTGCCTAGGAAGGCAGCGCTGTGCCCTTCTGCTTCTCTTGCCCAGGCCTCTGGCTCCTGTGGGTAGCCTGGTGTCGCACCTACCTGCTCATGCTGAGCTGGTGATGCATGCCTTGTGCTTTTGTCTTGGCTCTGTGCTGGCTGTGAGGACTGGGTGGCAAAGAAGCCACTTCTGTAGTGGTTCTGTGGCCCAGAAAAGGAAGTGGGTGTAACGAGTATGGGAGAAGGTGCTGACATTGGGTAAAGTAAAGTGCTCTTTCCCACCCATTGTGGCAATTCACAGCCTGTTCAATGTCCCTCTTCTTCAGGGACTAGTAACAAAAGTCATTGCCTTGGAGGGGTATGTTGCTCAAGGGGACAATGCTCCTGTCCCTTGTTCGGCTGGACTTTTGTCAGTAACACAGATGGCCATGACTTGACTGCCTAATATATTGTAACCTTAGTTTTAATGCAAAGGTCAGAAGTGAGAAGGTGGAGAAGGGCCTCACATGGCCCTAGGAGGATAGGATGGGTGCCATTGGGGGCTAATTCAGTTTCTTCTCACCCCTGCTTACTGTGTTTATTGCAGCCTCCTTATCCCCCCTCCCTTGACAACCCCCCCACCCCCGCTTCAACAATAATACCAAGGCCAGTAATTGTGGATCTGGCTGCTGCTGCTGTGTCATCCTAGATTGGAATGAAAATGTGTGCAGAATCTTGCCTCCTTTGACTTCACTAGGCTGCCTATGTGCTTGTTACAAGCCTCAGGGCTACAGTCACAAGCTTGTATCTTTCTGTGGCACCCTTAGAGACATGGCCTTTTGGTGTCTCATTTCTGGGAAATTCTAATTATTGTGTCTTTGAGAGAACTTTTTGGTGTAGTCTCTTAAATGTTTAAAAATTTTTGCTCTTAAAGATTCTTGCATTAATATTTAATCATCATTACACAATGGTGCTTTTTATATACATAYTAAATGTATATAAAATGTAAATGCATTTGTTGTAAATATATACAAATGATACATCCCTACCTAAAGTGTTTTTTCTTTCTTTTTTCCCCCTAGTTCTGTGTCCCACCTAGAGCAGCATTACCTTCTGTGGACATAACATTCTGAGAGTTGGTTACCATGACCTTCTTGCTACTGGAAACCCATCACACTTGACCTTGGGTTTGTGATTCAGTATTAATAGATCATGACTTCACTAAATCTTTATATTATAGAACCAAGAAAACTGTGGCACTCTTTTGAATTCTAGAGTTTTTTTTGGGATAAATCTAAGTTCTCTTAACTTAGTGAAGAAATATCAATTGTGCATGGACAGTTACATTTTTCATTAACTTGACTGTATGCCTAGTGTTTTTATGGCTTTCTACATCYAAATTGCACTGAAGAACTAGATTAAAGCATTGGGAGATTTATATTATAGGTATTCTTCAGTGATGGCAAGAACACACACAGATTTTTTTAAAATAAGAGGACTGTCAGTATAAATGTTACCTATCAGTATTGTCCAGAGACTGAAACTTAACAAATGTGGGCTGCCTTTGAAGCAGCAGCACTGGAATATGCATTACTGTGGCTTAAGTTAATAGTATTGCCTCTGCTCAAGATGACTGATTTTATAGCTTGCTGCTTTTCACCACTGTTGACACTTTAACCATCTGCCACTCTCAGAAACTTGTATTCACTTTGTGTTTCAATGTTTTGTTTCATGTGTCTGTGAAGAAGTGTACTTTAAAAGGAGTTTGAGTCCTTTAAGGTGCTTAAGAAATCGTCTGCTGCTGCACTGCCCACTTCCCATCGCTGTTGTTTTATTCATGCCTGTGCACCGTCCTCCAGGGCCGATGCCAGAAACAGCTATTCATGAATACATCACTAATCACGAACAGGTCTGCCAGATTCAATCATGTCAATGGCATTTAATAAATATAAAAATAATATATGTTAAAGAGCCTTGAGTATTTTTATTGTATCTTTTGTTTGCTCTTGCAGTGCTAAGATTAGTTGCTCTACAGTTTGTGAGCAGTGCTCCCTGATTAGATGGATCATGATGGCAAAGAGGGGAGAAGGACTTTCCTAGATCATGCTGTGCTGCCATGGAATGACAGCCATTCTGCTTTTTTTGGCCAGTTACGCAGCCTGCCCCTGACATAATAATGTGTGTAGAGTCTATATGGGACCTACTATCAGGGGGCTTTTAAAATTTCCTCCAAAGCATCTGTGTCCACATTCCTTACGCCACTTAGTAACCGAGGTGCTGTGACTGCAGAGGCAGTGGCTTGAAGTCTGGTGCCAGCGTAGCTTTTTCAGTTGTTATCTAGAGGTATGTGGAACCTGAGGATGGTTTCCTTGTTTTATTAATGTCTTAGTAGATGGTGAACAGGTGAGAATGATTTGTCACTTTCTTTCAAACTGATGAAGATGCCTACTTACATAATACTATTAATTAAAATTAGTTTTATCTGAATTTGTAAAAATTATGCCTTATACCAAAGACATGTAGGTATAAGGGGCATACAATAAAGCAAAAGTCCTTAGGGGTGTGTTTCTTGAACAGATTGAACCACGTTCTGTTTAGAGCTAATCATACTGAAGTTGATGCCTTTGATATATATGTAAGCCTACTTTCTCCCACTTACATTTTCCTGACAACTCAGAGTACCCTTTGTAATTAGATTTCTCTGATTTTGTTTGGTAAATACTTTCTTCTTTAGCAGTAAATAGCTGTAGAGTTTTCTGTAACAATCCTTTTCCACATTGCTGAAGTAGATTTGATACAGGTTGGGCATCCCTGGCCTGAAGTCTAAAATGCTTCACAGTCTAGAACTTTTTGAGCACTGCAGCAATTCCACAAGCGGACAATTCCACAACTGACCGGACGGGATGAGTCAAAGTCAGAATTCAGTTATGCTAAGGATACTGTCATCAAATCAGGCTGTGTGTGTAAGGCACAGATGAAAGATAAAATAACTTTCATGTTTAAACTTTGGTCTCATCTCCAAGATACCTCATGATGTATATGCAAATACTCCAAAATCTGAAGAAATCCTGTGTGAAACAATTCTGGTCCCAAGCATTGTGGAAGGAGGTAATTCAACGTGTACTGATGACAAGCACATCGCTACTCATGACTGGCAGCAGGTAGCTCTCCTGTACTGCTGACAAGCACATCGCTACTCATGACTGGCAGCAGGTAGCTCTCCTGCCGCCCTAAGAACAGTGCCCTGTGCAGTGTACTCAGGGGACATTTTCTGCAAAGATTCCTTGGGAAAGAGCCACCTGCTGCGAGGAACACTGGGCTTCTTGTGAGCTGGACAACCTTGAAACAGAAGGACCATTTGTCTTTCTGATCCCAGATAAGGAGTCTTTTTGAAAGTTACATGGTGTGATTTCTTCTCAAAGTGTTTACTTGCTGCCAAGAACCAAGTTGCAAATCATCCCCTTACAGCTTGGCTTTTTGAAGAAAACAAAAACAAACTGTAGAACTACGGTGCACTCCAAGTGCCATATATCTATTTTATTCTTCAGGAAATTATATTTGTTTTTCTTTTACAAGAGCACAACAGGAACCAAAGTAAAGGAGTAATAGATACAGCACTCAGGATAAATCATATCTTTAAAATAATAATAAAAAATTTACACCTTGTCCTACATCCTGTTAGTATTTTCATATGGCCATGATTGAAAAAACAAAAAGCAAGCATTTACAATTTTTTTCTTTGATAAAGACTTTATATGCCAGGAATGGATTAATTGTCAACAAAATTTTATACTAATCAGGCTGATGTAAATCTATTTTGGTAACATCATATCATTAACAAATTTATTTTGGAAATAGATAAAAATATTGCCCCTTGATAATAAATCTTATTTTTTTTCTTTGATGCAAACAGCTAGAACACCTTTTTCTTTTTTCTTTTTGATATTCTAAAACAAAAAAAATGGTTAATCTTCAGATTAATAAATTAGGTCATTATAATAATAAATTAATTTTTTTTAAAGTTCAGCAACCTCTGTCCAAGTATTTACAACAATACTTGAAAGTTCCTTTACAAAACAGAACACATTTTCTTTTCACATTAAGCATACTGGGTATCTGTGTCTTTCACAACAAGCATTTTTAAAAGAAAAGTCAATGCACAAATGGGTCATTAGTATAAAAGTGCTAAGAGCTGTTTGAAAAGTTAACACTATTGTGTACAGTCAGTTATATATTCGAGGCAAACTACAACAAACTTCCAGCTTATTGTGGACAATATTCCAGTAGTTGTTTCAAACAGTTGTTTGAAAAAAAAAATAAATCCAGGAGCTGATTAGTGATGCAGATAAAAACTGCCATCAATGTCTCTGGCCAGTGAGCGAATTGGAAACCAACTGAAAGCAAATCCAAATGAGAAGGAAGATTTTAATAAAGGAATATCCTCTCCATAGCAGGTACGATGCTGGCTGCTGAAGGTATGTACACACACACACATACACACACACACCCACTCTTACAAACATCTTTCCAATTAAACTGCAGGTAGAATGAGAATTTGTGTTATTCAGAAAATCTGTAAGTGATCAAAAGCATTGATATGGAATGCCTGTTTATCTGCCTTTGTTCTGGTTAAAATCTCATAAAAATACATTCAACAGGAAAACATAAATTGTATGTGTATAAATATATGAGCATATATATTTATACACATGCACACAAATACTTTTGTTTTTTGAAGCATCTTAAGATAGTTACATAAATAGTCCTATAATTGCTAAAGTTTAAAGAGGCATAATTTTTTTTTAGCTTCAACAAAGGTGCTTGAATAATATACAATTAAAATGAAGTAGTTTCTATTTTGTAGAATCAGTATATAATAAAGAAAAAAAATCCCCAAACAGTCTTTCTTTTTTTTTTAAAAAAAAAGTTTCTTCTTAAGCTAGAGCTTCAACAAAAACTATGAACAACCAACAGTATAACAGAAAAAAGCAACAACAAACAATGAAGTATAGCCCCTGGAAATGCCTGGTGTCCTTCGCCCTCTCCCTCCTTTCCGCCACACTGTTGTAAGAAAAGCTCCAGTGCTCACATCAAGAAATGACTTAGATCTTGTTCATTTGCTGTCTCTGCTACGAACTGGCTGATTGGCTTGGAAGAAAACAAAAGCAGCAAAAAGTATAACTGTATATGTCCCTATTAACCCGCTTTAGAGAAATGCAGCTACTGCATTTCCCTGGCTTCCTCACTGCCTATCGCAGTTGTGACTGCGTAGAAAAGAAACTTGTGGCTTTAGACTTGGGATGGCTATCAAAAGTTCTGATGCACTCGTCTGGTAGTTCTAAGGTGGCTATGGCAGCTGGATTGCAAGGCCTTTTTTTATTTCCTGCTCATTCAGGCCTGAGCTTTGCAGCAACCAATGCAGTCTTCAGAGCAACAGGAAAAAGAATCCTCTGGGCCACTGAACTGCTTTTATTTTACTGGATTTTTTCCCCGAGCCAGGCTGACCAATTTTTCTTCCCAGCACCACCCTCCCACCCGTTTCCCCAACCGAACTCACTGTCCCCACCCCCAAATATCTCTACAGCTATATTACAAGCAAATATACCTTAGCAACTTTAAAAACTTTGGTTCTAAGAAAACACTTGGTCAGTTATCTTGAGGAAAGGTGGGAATGCATATCCTGCACACTGCTGTAGACAGAGCCTATCCCAGTAAGTTCTTAGCGCTGTACATCAAGTCACAATCCAATACAATCCACTAAGCAAGTGCACAAATTCTAGTTTACTTTTAAGAGCAGATTTAGTTGTTTTCTGTGTTTTGAAACCTCATCCATGTTGCCTTTCTTCACACTGTTTGGTAGAAATTGTCCGCCTGTAGATGGCTCTGTTTTTGCATGCTGTAGAAGCCACTGAATCTTGCATCTGGTTCAGCGATTCTTAGCATTCTCTGGGAACCATCCACTTGAACTCGTGTTCCTTTCTTACAGTCCACAGATACTAGTTGATTATTCAAGGAAGAAGGCTATTGAGTGAGAGAACAGGAGAAAAAAACAAAAACCCACAAAGAATTAGCTGCCTTACATACCCCATATGTACAGAAATTTAGGACTTAATTCAGGTCGGGCAATAGTTTCACATTTTGTTGATGTCAGACTATAAGCATGGTATTACATCTTATTTGAATTCCAACTATATTTTCATTAGTGAAGTGACATGATAACTATTTTAAATCCATGAAGTGCAGACTTGTGTTTAAAAGGGTTACAAAAGGAGTGGACATTAACAGGCGGTCAGATATTAAAACAGCAATTCTAATAACACAGGTTGTGTGACAGTCTCATATTTTGGACCAGCCCTTCTGTATCTCATCATCTCATGCTCTTTATGAATGGGTCTCTTTTCCTGACTTCAGACAATATGATTGTGTCTTGYGCAGCACTGTTTCCTGACTTAGCATAGAGGCTGTGCCTCGTCCATATTTGTCAAAAAGAAAATCACAGGCAGAATAACCATCTGACGGAAATTTATATGGAAAGGTTAACTAGACGGTAAGTTGGATTAAATATATTATTGAGGCTATTTCTAATTCTCACAGTTGTATGATTTAAAAAAAAAAAACTAAATGTAAAAAAGTAGAATGAGTTGGAAGAAATATGATTTTTCCCCCTAATTAGTACAGTGCTTTCTCTCCTGTTAAAACAGGCAGATTCAAAGACCCTTTGTATTTGTATTGAAACAAACACATATTTCTCTCCCTTGATAAGAAGTCTGCCTACCCTTGGCCAGTGTTGCCTCACACATTCTTCATCTTGTGCTACCCGTCCCTTTGTGCTTGCCTTTGGACTTCTGTATATCCTCATTATCCTTCAGCTCTCTCTTTGCCCTCTCCTGAGTATTATGTCCCTCCCTTTGTGTTTTCTTTCCTCTCCCATTTCTAAGTTAATATATGATTGAGAAATACTAGATGATCAAGTTTTGATTTCTAATATAAACGATGACTCAGGAGTCAGTCCAGAGGTTTTTGTTCATTTGAAAACTTTCAAGTACACTCAGGAAATTGGGTCCATGAGTGGTCAGGATTTACCAATGCCTGAATGATGGATAATTCACTCAGTGATCAATCCAGCCCTAGGCAAGTACTGTATATTCAATTGCTGCAGCTTCATGTGCATTTGAGGTTATGAATATCAAAGTAAAAATTTCATTGGCTGATATAAATAGTATTAAGCAATTTTAAAGCTTTCCTATTTTTATCATTTGAGAGACTTTTTCAGGACAGTACCTTAGTTGGTGTTCGATACCAGCAAAGCAGCGGAATCCACTGTTTCTTCTGATTGATGAATAGGAATGCTATTAATATGGAGAGGCATATTATTATGGGAACCACAACTGACACAATGGAGTCCAGTGAAGAATCTTCGGTTGGGTGTAGCCTGTTATTATTTCTGTAATCTACCTGGAGGTGACCCATATCTAGAGGGAAAAAAAATTACCAGTATTACTTAAACCAGAATTTTAAAGGATTATTTCAGTTATATTACAAATAGACATGAGCAACTTGGTTATATAGCTTTCCAGTACTTTCAGGCGAAAAACACCATTCAGGTCTAATGTTGATATACAAAGAACTCTTAGTAGATGGATTAAAATGGGTGAGAATGTTAATGTCTGGGCAAGATGATATTGGCTCTAGGAATCAGGAAAATAGTAAAATTCTAGGAAGATTTCAAAATGTGACTAAAATTAGACTAATTTGAAAATATTTTGCAATAATATTAAAATATTTTGATTATCACAAATACCTTTTCATAAACTTTTTGGAAATCTCACGATGTCTATATTTTCCTGCCTTCATTAAGTAACACTACACAGGGGACAACATGTAATTTTGCTCTTATGAAGATCTTTTGGTTCTTTTAAAATATCATTCTTACAATGAGTTGCAGACAGAGATAAGGTTAAAAGGTTCTCCATGAAGTTACTTTTTTCTTTTGTTYCAAATAAGCCATTCTAGTCAGGTTTTCTAAATGTATCAAAGACTGTTCAGTGAAAGATAAAGAATGCATACAATCAAAAGGAATTACTCTTAAACTGTTCTGGGAACTCAGTTCAAGAAGTAACACAGCTTTTTGATAGTAAGACTTCTATGGTTTAAAACTTAAGATTTTTGTTGATGTGCCTCTGTATGTACTCTGCAGGTGGGAAGGAATGGGAAGAGAATGTTTCTACTCATTTTAGCCAATGCAGATGGTGATATAGGAAGGGAAAAAAGGAAAACATTTATCAGCATCCAGAAAAATGCCAAAGATAACAGTGATTCAGGCTGCAAATACAAAATGAATAAAGTAGTGAATCTTGACCTTCCTATATTCCAAATGATACATGGAGTGGTTTCAGGAATGTGTGTCATGCAATATTTGAAAGTAAATTAAGGAAAATATTGGTGAGAGGAAAATGAAACTGTAATTGAGGTCTATATAATATTGAGGTCTCCAGTTCTGTTTTGATGCTAAAAGCAAGGTATGAAAGTTGGCTTTGAGCTTTCTATCAGCCAAAGCAAAAATAGGAAATAAGATTCACAGTGTCATTCAGATTAAAACAAATCAGTTGCCTAAGAGAAACATACTTTCTTGCTACTGACCCATCTCTCTTCAGGGACTTTAGCAGGGATATTATGTAATGTGTAGGTCCTGAACAGACTGCATTAAGGAATGCATTCTTATGACCAAAGCCCAGCATCTAGAACAGTGAGGGGCACACAGCAGGCATGGTAGTTGCTGACTGAATGAATGTAAGCATGATGCTAAAGCACATTCAGTTAGAGCAAACACATACAGAGCCAAAACACTGGGTCTAGGAATTTGGCTCTCTGGTCATCTGGTCTGATCCAAGCACAACATTTAGAATATCTACAGTAACAGACCATTAATCTCTCAAGCAATGACTTCTGCTTCTTCCAAAAGAAATATTGTGACAATTGTACAGCAATTTTGAAAATGTGTTTGGAATCAACAGGAGGCAGTATTGAGCGTAGCTCTAAGCAAATTTACACTAGTCTCCTTTTTAGAAAAGGTAGTACTGGCAGAACTCGGCCATATCTGACCACTTAGCTACTGAGAAACAAACTAACATCGTTATTATGCACAATTAAAAGGACAAAATAAAAAAGACATGGAATCAACCCTGGGAAAAAGTTAACACATTGCAATACTGAACCCTCATGGAATTAAAATACCCAGAAAGAGAAAGTAACCTAATGCACAAATGCTTAGTACAGAATCCACAGGGACAGTGAATA